ATTTGTAGAAACAGTTTTCACACCCTTAAAACACACAAGTTACCCACAAACACTAGCACTGTACCATAAAACAAGAATAACTTTAGAGGAAAACACAGCATGACACTAAGAAATCATATCTAAGCAATATCGCTAAATAATATATAAACCAAATATATCCTTCTACAGGAACAGACCAAGACTTTTTGTCGAGAAAAGCATGCTTCAAGCAGTTCCCCAAAACAAGTGATCAGAACCCTAGAAAACCTAGGCACATACCTGTCACAGTCTTAAACATAACCTAAATAGGTTAAACATGAAAGAACTGTACAAAGACTGTAAATGAATGCAATTACAGTGGCAGGAAGAGCCTATAGTGTAAGATTAAAAATTATAAAAGTGATTTTTATATCCATTCCATTAAAAACAAACCTCTGTCCAGACAACACTCTAAAATTGCAAATGTGGTAACAACTGTATATATTTGCGTTCACCTTCCCTTGCCTAACAGTAGTTTAAATGTAGCTTGCACATTTAAGAGGATGAGAAATACAGAAAATATTTGAGGGGTAAAATGGGAGGAGGTTTTGTGAGGCAGTGGAGCTAAAGGGGAAACTGACCCACTAGAACTGCTTTCTCTTAAATCAGGGATCTGTTCTTTTGATATGCAGATTGTTCTTTTTTTTTAGATGAACTATGCTTGTCCCAAGAAGTCACCTGGATCCTCTCTGGGCTTAAAGATCATAAAAATCTAGACTCTTTCCAGTTCTTTAACTTTCCTTCAGTTCCTTTCCCTTCCTATGATACCACATAAGGTCTTTTGTAGATGAAAATGTCACATTAAAATAAAATGCCTTGCACTTTCTGAAGTCTAGCTTATAAATCACTGACTAAACTTCAGAGCCCCAATCTACAAAAAGCTTTAGCTACCTGGTTACCCCTTCAGGTCGCTAAGCCCATGTGACATTGACACCTCTCAAAGTCTCCTGGCCGTATCCAGCTCCCAGGTAGAGGCAAGCATCCTTGTCACACTGGAGCTTCAGAAGGGAACAAAAATCCAGCATGCTTTGCTCCTTCAATCCTGACATCTAGTTTACGTGGGTACCTACCCAGTATGGATAATCAGGGGACCAGGATGAACAAGGATGCTAAGAGCACACCTGCTCCAGAGAATAAATACTGCCTATGAAGCTGCTGGTGCAATCCTTAACTCCTTCCAAATAAATCTTCCCTGTAGCACACCACCTGAAATTCAAAGAAGATCTGACCATGCTTAATGGCTTTACCTCTGTATTGCCATGGCAGGTTGGGAAGAAGAAAAGAGGAAAGACAAAAGATCCACTGGACCTCTGCTTTCAGAATCTCTCTTTGGGGCACCAAGACCATGAGACCATGAATGTTCAGGGTGATGCTGTTGGCTTTACCCTCCAGCTCAGGAGACCTGCAGCCACCCCATGGAAGGATGTAAAAAATGTTTGCTGTGGGGCCTGATGTTTTGCATTGTTGGAAAAGCCTGCAATTTTTTATGGGAAACAGCAAGCACTTTGAGAAATTAAAGGAGAGTATACTGCACCTTCTCTAGTTTTAAATAATCTATAAGTGATACTCAGAAATGAAGGCACCTCTGATAGTGGCAAAGTTGGTAATTAAGAGAATTAGAGCTTTGCCAAAAATGTGTTGGTGTTTAGTTTTGGGTGGTCAGGATTCAAATATTTTGAAAACTACTGTGTTAGCTGTTGCCAAAGTAGACTCCTAAGCAAATACTACTTCAATGAAACTTTGGAGTACTTTACAGTCTAGAACTCTGAGCTAGAGCAATTCCAGAAAGTCAAAAACATTAGTGCAAGCTTAGCATAATTGCCCAGTATCCAATTCAGTGATACTCAGGACTGAGAAGTGCTCTGTAGGCCCAAGATGTTTTTCAGTTTCTTCCACTGATGAACCACCAGAAACTGCAATTCTAAATTATATTGACACAATTGTGAAACCAGAATTTTACTCACTAAGTAACAGTGCTTCTGCTGTTTCTAGAAAGCTGTGCCCACTACCACCTTTCATTACCCACTGTCTTGTTCAAACCGTCTTCTCTTCTTTAATAGCCTATATCACTTCATGTGGTCAGCCTTCTGACAACGGCTACATCCCAAATGGGAGCTGGCAGTTGCCCTTCCAAGGCACAGATTAGCAGATCCACAGTATTTGGAATGGCTTCCCATGTACATGTACCAAGCTCAGAGCTCTTCTCAGAAAGAGGGCAGAACTTGGCCTTGGCAACACTGAGGGGAATTGGCAGGTAGATAACTACCCAAGTTCCTTTTGTAATATAAATACAGGCTTGGGATTTGAGTCATATATCCTACAGTGATTCAATGTCTTAAGGTATTTGCTACCAAATACTTCACTTAATCATGGTGAATACAATTCTACACATGCTCCATACACATTCTACACAGGCTCCTACAGTCAATGAAATTTCCACTGCCACATTTTTCAAATGCCCAAGGTTGTAATTATTACACTAGGGCTAGAGATTACCTTTCCACCCCTTTTTCTTGGCCTCTGTAGTGTGCTCATGCGTTCTGTACTCTGGTGAGAGCTAGAAATTCTACCAGCCCCAGTTATATTCAGATTTTCTTTCCATCACATAAACTGCATGCTCAGAAGCACAGAGTATTAAGTCCCATGCTTTTAACACATTAGTGCTTGCTACTGCAGAAATATTGGACAAACATTTGAATTATCAGATGAGACTCCAGAGCAATACCTAAAAATTATTACACCAATAATGCTAATTTTGTTTTCAATTTATTTGTAACCGATAAACAAGAAGCTAATTTTAAGGGAAAACAAATAGAATTATTTAATATTTAATAATTTGTAGTTCTAATTTTAGTAATATAATTTTTTAGGTAGACCTCTAATAAAAATTAATTATGTTTTATTATTTTTACTCAAGATTTCCAATAGAATAACACGGAAATGATCAGTTACAATGTCTAAGCCTAAGCACATCAATGAGCAGGACTGGGGAAGTTTGAGAAAGAACCTTTAGCACAGGGAAGAAATTCCAATATTTGTGAGGATCTGAAGAAGAGGTAATGGCCCCTCCTTGCTTCAACAGAAAAGAACGAAGATTGTCCAAAAAAGAATTGGTAACAAACTGAGAGATGAGAAAATTAAGAAAGAACAGAAACAAGAAACTTTTTAACAACAAAAAGGAAGGAAAGCAACCAGACCAGTAATTAAATGCCTAGTAACAGAGTAATGAAAATCTCACCCTATAACTGTGTGAGAACCGCAAAGATTAAATAGAGGTGAAACAGAAAAAAAAATTTAATCTGTCCAGTTCACTGTGAACAGGAAGACAAATTATTTTTCCCTTTCCCTGGCAACACCTTTTCTTTTCTTTAATTGTTAAGGTTCCTTTACTGTTCTTTAGTTTAAACAAACCATGTGTTTCCTATCTTTCTGCCTAAGTAATTACTGCTGCTCTCTTCTGCAGTATCTCCAAGCAGTCTTTTTTTTTCTTCAAAAGCGATATTGCCAAAAACCCTTGCAAAACAATGTTGGTTTTCCCCCAAAATACAGGATAAGCAACTCCTCTAGAAATGACTCACACCTCTGACCTATTGAGTCCTGAAGAAAATGTGAGGTGCAACATGTTCACTCTGGTACACAAACACTGGATACATTTTACTGAGCATTACATGGGCAAATATGTTATTCATTTCCTTGTTGGTAAGCCCTGCCTCTTGGAGGGGAGATGGTAGGAAAGGACAGCCAAAGGACATTCAAAGGGAAAAGGAGGTTGAAACCCTTCTCTCCCATTTTCTCTAGACTCTCACCGCTTTTCTCAGAAAGTTTCATTAAACAGAATCTAGTTCATTAATCAGTTAAGTGCTTTCCTCACATTATATGCCAGGCATTAGTGTTTCACAGAACAACAAATTTTGACTATTTATTTACATCCTATGGTTCCTGATCACTGAAGATTTTGACACAAGCAGAACAAAATATTAATGTAATCCTGTAAACTTAATCCATTTTCTGTTGTACTGAAGATTAACTGTATTACATTTTAATCCGTATTTTTTTGATTCTTTCCAAAGCCTTCCTAAATCGCAAGGAAAAAAAAGAAGTTTTAGTAAGTGCTACAAAGACCGTCATGGATACATTAAGAAAACCAAGAAAATTTGGAGTCATTTAATTCAGATTTGCTGCTACTACTACTATCAAACTATTGGAAAAACATTACCTCTCTATGCTGGTACCCAATCAGAATAATGGTAGCCTATACCTTCCATTCAAGTTGCACTAGACAATATACAGACTGATTTGCACCCCTATTTTTATATTCTTCTATTTTATATTCCTTTGTGTGTGTGTGTGTGTGTGAGAAAACTCACTATTTTATCAATGGTTTATTACAATAATAGTTATCATGAGTAGAAAAATACACGTTATTAGATACGAAAAACATGGGTTTGCTCTCAGTTGGCTAGAAGTCCTCAAATACAGCAATGTTACAGGATTTTTTATGAATTCTTCACAGGATTTTGTGAACTGCAACTTGCTTGGAAAGCCCTTCACCTGCACAGTTCTCCTGAGGCCTACCTGATTACTCTGGGTAACATACAGGGGCTATAAACCATCTTCCTATGCATGCCAGCTACAAAGAGTTCTTGGAACAAGCGATGAGCTGAGCAATTTCAGCACAAGGAGAAAGAGGAACTAGACCAGACCGAATCTGAAAAGTAAATCATTAACACAAGCACTTTCTGTAGGTGAGTGTTTCACCCTCTGACTAGCAGAATTCTGATTCTTAAAATCAACACAGTAGAACAGAGGGTGTCGTACTAATGACTCTGTTTACTTACATTATAATCACACTTATTCAATACATGATTAATGACTAAGTATACAGTGAATCTATAAAACCCAAGGACATACTGTACCCACAGGTGTTCTGCTTCATTATTACTTTGGAGCCTTATTCACTTGATATCCAAAACAGAATAAGACTTAACTATAACATTAGTTTACTGAACTATTTATTACTTTTAGTCTGGAAAAGCTACTATTTTCATCTCAACAGAACCTGAAGACTCAAATCAAAATGTATTGTGGAGCTTATGTGAGTAGAATGATTTGTTCTCTGAAATATTTCAAAACTTTTGATTCCTCTTGAGTTCTCATCAAATACATTGGGATCCATTTCCCTCTACTGCTAGAAATTAATCTCAGGTGAAGTTAATTTATTTGTGATTTGTGTCTAATCCTGGTGTTACTTACAGTGTATATATCAAGTGTTTGAAATGAAGATTAAAATATAAAGAATAATCAGTTCTTGTCTCAGAATTTTAGGCCTTTCAAGAAAAAACAATTCAAGCCTCCTTGTGAAGGTCTGTTCATGGGTTTTCTATGCTTGCATTTAGCTACTACACAAGAAACTAAATTACATACTATCACCTAATTGTATTAAAAATAAATATGTGAATTTCTCAGAAGATACCTATTCCTGGTACTATTTTGAGGGGCTTATAACTTCACAAGACCATCTGTAACTGCATAAAGTAACTGAATAGATTTATCATTTATAAACACCTGTTTTTGTTCACAGTGTGAAAAATATTTTAAAGCAAAGAAATGCTACCTCTACAAGGGCCATAACTCATATATCAGTTATTGTTTCCCATCAAAAAATGTAGCAATATGCTAAATGGTTTCATTAGCGTTCTTTAAGAAAAGTTCATAGTGCAATTTTAAATCTCCATTGTGGAAGCTACTAGAGTTTCATGACAACAAAATATGAAATTGCTCTCTGTACCTGGTATATTGATAATTATGTTCACTAAGGACTTTCTTTTAATTATTATTAATAAGAATAATTATTCATTCTCTCAAATCTTTTTTCATGTACATTCCCAAAAAACTTGCAAATCAATATAGAATTTTCTAAAGGAGAAAATTTTTTCCTTACTTATTTTAATTGAAAGTATAATTGACTAATTAGTCCAATCCTGTCAGTAAAGTATTTCTTCTGATAAAATTCTACTGCATATATTTGTTTTTCTAAAGTAATAGTTATTGAATGGGCATTACTAATGTGCTTGGTTTTCTGCAATTTGGGATCTCGCATCCTTTACTAGACCAGCTAGGAATTTAAAAGCGATTTTCTTCTTTGTTTCTTTTTTTATTCTCTTTAAATTAGAGTGATGCTGTAATCTATTTCTAATAATTAAATGAATACAGCAAGACTAAATCTACCTGACGAAGGTAGTAGATTAGTTTCTGCCGGAGATTTCAAGAAATTTGGTTTCTTTTCTCCTACTGATTTATTGATACCAATTGTATTTAAATAATTGACACTGCATTTGCATATAGTATGTTGTCTGATATTAACAGTAGTACATTACAAAATAACTTACAGAAGAAATTCTTTTGCTTTTAAGTCATTACAATTGGCAATTATGATATTTGTAATAATAATAATGCAATATTTTGATAGCATTATAAAGAAATTCTAATACATTAGATGGTAATTCTTAATACTCCAAAATAGACAGTGTTAATACCATCTCTATTTCCTCTTCTTCTAAACATAGAAAAGCACACCAATATGCCCTTTGTTTTTTCCATAATCACAGAAGTAAGAAAGCAGAGAAGCAACTGTAGACAATGGGGTGCATATCTGTAACCTGATTACAGGCTTTCTCTGATGGATTCACAGGTTGAGTAAATTTTTTATTCTTTATTCTCATTTCCATGTGTTGTGGAGTAGAAAGGGAGAGAAATTAGGGTTATTTTATGAACTAGATTACTGGATCCTAACCAATGGAGATTACCCTGTTAAGGCACCCAGACAGAATGGGGACATGTAATGCAGAGACCATGTAAACATTCTCCCCTGGATGCCTGCTGGTTCTTCAAGATAAAGTCAGTCTTGGAGCAGTGGCAGTTTTCTCAGAAGACATTCAGCAACAAAATAGCAGAAAAATCACTCTAGCAAATCTCAAACAAGAAAATAGGGCTTACACAGGACTGAGTGGTGAGGCTGTCACATTAATTTCTTGTCTACTCTCCTGAAACACAACTTTAAATTGAGAAGAAGTCTTAAAAGCACACTTTAGACTTAAAAATATTTTTTAAGGAATCCTCAAACATTGATATACCATTAATTCAGAAGCATAAGAAACATGAAAAAAAGAATTGGAAGCACTACTTTCAGAATGTACTTGGTTCTTTAAGATTATTTCTGTTATATTTTATGCCACCCATATTAGTAATTACATATTTTATCTATGAATAACTGGATAGGATGGAGTCCCCCAAGATCAAGAATGAGATGTACAAACTGTTAACAGCAGCAGTCTTGCCAGAATCAGTAATGCAGGGCATCATGATTATCAGAGATTACATAGAGAAAATGGCTCCCCATAGTATCACAGGTAAAACTACAAGAAATTAGACAAGATGAAATCTGTGACCTCTGAAATATACATTCAGGGGGAGATGGGAGGCTTTGGAGAAAGAATTTTCTATATTTAGAAGTATCCCTTCCACTATTGCAAAATTTATTTTTCAAATTAAACTTAACACATACAATAAACACAAAGCAAATCAAAATACTCATGAAATTTTTATTTAATAAAGTTGCACACAAAAGATATCTTTGCCAAAGTATAGCTGGCTCATAGCACATAGCTATGTAATAAAGCAAGCACTTTATTTCAGTAGACATTCCCTATGGGAAACATTCAGACTAAGGAGTCTGACTTTGATTGTTTGTTATCAGCAGAATGACTTACTGAACAAATATTATTAGAAGGTTGTTCATACTTCAGATTGCTTTTTCCATCACAAGACTGAATTGCCTGAACTTTACACAACATAATTTGATAAAAGCAGCCTCAGCTTTTACTGATACTTTTGTTGAATGCTTATGGCTTCGGTCAGAAAAAGCTGTAACTTCCTTGCTCTTGCACAGAAGGAAGGTAAATTGCAAGTATAATTTTTTTAAATTATTATAAATTTTTTGGTCTCTTTCCAATTCTTTTTGTTGTTTTGATTCATTCAACCAACACCACACAAACCTGTCTGCATTCCACCCGCACAGTTGACTGTGGAATCAGTTCCTTACAGGTGAGTTACATGAACACGTGTGAACAGAAAGATACGTAGAAAGTGCTCACCTGTGTGGAAACAGATCTGTGTTTTTGTAGATGAGTAGATGAGGAAGACAGCAGAAAGAGGATTAAAATCCTTAAAGTCAGAGATAACTGAATTATCTATGGAGATTTGTTTGCCTCACCTTTAGGTGCTTGGACACTTTGTGAGAAAAAAGCAAAATACTGTTACTATTCTTCCTTATAAACAATAGATATCCTCTTCATCAGGATGCTCCAGGAGAAAGCCAGTATGAAAAACGTTTCTCCATGCTCACATACATCATTTTGTCTAAACTAACCCACAAAAAGGCCAAATTGCCCTCAGAAATAACTTTCTTCAGATGCCCTTTGAAGGTGTTCTCTTTCCAATGCAGAAAGCCCTGCCATGCTGAATACTGTGCTCACAATGGACACTCCACCAAAATGGTGCATGTGTCATGAGGGATGCCAGAATCCAGATACCAAAATTTAAAGTCTTTTAAAATGTGCAATCCCTCACATCCTTTCAATGACTATACCAGACATCAACCCCTGGTTTCTTCAGAAAATCTGGCTGTATTTGTATGTATTTGTCCATCTATTTGTTTCTTACCAGTGACTTGGAAGTTTACAGTGAATTTGTATCATATTTGGCAGAGGAATACAATCTCTTCTGAAGAAACACACTGTTATCAGCTGCAGTGTTCACAGAGGAACTTGTATCACAACACATTGAACACACCTGATTTTGAATTTCAAAACAATACACCATACTAATATCCACAAAATCCACAATCTTGCACCCAACTTGAGGAACTGAATCTGACATTGGCAAGCAAAACACCTGTGTATGCAGTTTTGAGGATGGATATTTGTGAGTGCCGACAACTTGAAGGAAAAGTTTAGATTTCTGTATCCCGTCCACTGTACTAATAAATATATCTAAACATATGCAAATCTGGGAAGAGCCACAAAAAATTCATGAGTTTTCTCAAGGTTCACTATGAAGGTAGTGGGAACTACCATATGTAGCATATTAGTAATGAGGATATTTGAAGAATATCTGAGTAAGAGAGGAGTTACAGGACTATTTGTTAAACCATCATCTTGTCTAAACAAAGCTTTACTGACTGACCATTTACACCAACTGAGGACCTAGACCATATTTCTTCTTTGCTTCTTATGCTTTTTATATCTGTATTTCCTTAAGGCAACATTTATTATTAAAAAAATTTATTAAAATTTTTTATTAAAAATCCCCCTCCCCTCCTTTTTTTACGAATTTGCCATGAGATTAATAATGAGCTGTCTGCACTGACTTTGATCTTCTCCCAGATGCTTAGAAGTTCAACTCTGCAGTTTCACTGTATGCCAACACCCTTTGGAAAGGTGTAGATACATTCAGATACAGATGAAATAGTGAACAGTTTTTTCACTATGGGATCTGTCCTAGATTATTATAAATAAAACTCATTTAGGGAAGGAATATTTTTAATGTGAGTGATTTATGACTGGCAAAAATAAACTGGCTTGCTGTAGCTTCCATACAGACATTACAGTTAGGCTTACTTAATATCATAGAATCATTTAGGTTGAAAAGACCTCCAAGATCATCAACTCCAACCATAAACGTAACAGTTCCAAGTCCACCCCTAAACTATGTCCCTAAGTGCCCCATCTACATGTAAAACCCATCATTATTTAAATATTTAAATATCCATAAACAACAACTTTATTTTCTGTGCAAATATCAGTCTGTCACTTCTAATAGTCAAATCTCTTAGGCTCCTTGCTCATTATACCTTTGCTAATTTCCATTTTTAGGAAATGAAAATGTATAAATAAATTGTACATGAAGTTCATAGTCATTCTGAAAATTCTTTCCAGCATGATAACTCAAATAATCACAGTATGTACACTGGACAACAGTGATCACCAGATATAAATTTCACCAACATAGATTTCAGGTTTTGTGCCTGATCCTGGAAAAAAGTTTAGAATTCTTCAAAATGTATGTCTGGAATTAGTATACATCCTATGGGACTGACACACAGAGAATAATGCAAGTACCTTTATCACTCAATCTCTTATCACTGAGACAAGTGGGTGTTTGATAATGTTTACTTATTTTAAAAATGTTATTGAAGAAATTTCTGTTAATTTTTTGCATTGAAAAAAATCATAGAATTATCAGGTTGAAAGAGGGTTTTTAGGTCATCTAGCCCATCCTCCTTGTCAAAACAGGTGCCACACTAAATTCAGACCGAGTAGATTACAGATTTGCCCAATTCAGTTTCTACAACCTCTCAGGATGGAGGCTCCACGATCTCTTCAGGCAACTTCTTCTACTGCTTGGTTATCCTCACAGTAAAAAATGTCTTCTTCATATCCAGCCAGAATATTCTTTGGTTTGTTTTATGACTGTTGCCTTTCATTCTTCATGCACCTCAGTAAGGTGGATGGCTCTATGTTCTTGATGGTCTTCCCATAGATGCTGCAGAGCAGCTGTTGGGTCCCTCCAAAGTTGACTCTTCTCCAGGCTACATCAAATTTCCTGAGCTTCTCTTCACAGGGCAAATGCCCCTTCCTTTTGACCATCTTGGAGATCCTCCACTATCCATTAACAAGCTCTCCTTACTTTTCTCATCAAGATGTAGAACAGTTTTACTTATTAAGGGCATGACCTAAATCAATAAGAAGACCTCCACCAATGCTGTCCATGAGATGTGGATAAAGTTCTCGTATCAATAATGTTAAATGATCCAAAAATGTCTTTGGTCTTCTCAACTTACAAAAAGCTTCCTGTTACTTCTGAATCACAATTTTGTCTTACTTGTGTGGGCGGGTTGGAGAACATTGTATTTAGAGAAATGATATTCAGTGTAAATGCCCTCAAGACTTCTGACATCACCAAGACAACCACGATGCAACTTTCACTGCTGTAGATTTAGCTTTGCCATGAAGTATAATTCCTGCTCTTTCTGGTAGTGACCACCTTAAGGCATGTGGAAGAAAAGTCACAAGATCATACTATTAGTATTCATTGGTTACAAATTACATAACTTGTTCATTAATTACTAATCAAACCGCTACATGCTAGCTATACCTGTTGCTTCTCATGCTAATTAGTCTGCACGTGCAGTTCTTACCTACCTTTGAGTCTGGGGTCTATTTTGAGTAGGCAGTCAATGAACTGGTGGTCATGAACAATGAGTTGGTGGTCATGAACTCCTCTGAAGGAATTATCCTTCCTCCAGTTACTGCTCAGTTACTTCTTAGTTATTCTTAGTTATTCTCAGTTGTTTTTCCTTAAAACAAAAGATTAGCTAGGCATGCAAGATTCACAATGCAATTGCTTAATTACAGCTTGTCCAGCTATACCTACTGATTAACAGCTAAAAAATTTGAGAGTTTGGTTCAACTCTTGAGGCATTCAGACCTTAAAATTTCTGACCATGCACTCTTTTCCTCAGTTAGCCACAGACAATTTGTTACCCTCATGAGGCAAAGACAATTTAAAGTTATGGCTGTTAGTTTTCAAAAGAATTATATATGCAGTGCTATAAATGTTAAACACCTCAATTAAAGTCTGCTTTCTCCTTCAGCAGACACAAGGAACGATTTTTCCCGCTCCGAATTTTAACCCTATTATGGATGCCCAGTTGCTAGGAGGAGCCCTACAGGGAATTAGTGAGTATTCTGATCTATTTCCTTTTTTTCCAGAAAGCTCTCATAAAACAAGCATGAGGCAAAATAAAAACATATTAAACAAATTAAAAGTGTCATTACCTATCTGTTGATTCTTCAAGGAATCACAGTAAGACACACTGATGATGTCAAAATAAATCATGTATTTCCATTTACAGGAACTAAGAGACAATCAAGATTAATCTAAAGTCTATACCAACACTTAGAGTAATGAACCCTTCCTTGAGAAAACAAGAAAAAGAAAACAGAATCTGTGATATGTCACTACAGTGAAGGCTGAGAAACTAAAGGTTTTTAGTTGTAACTTCAACAATTAACTGTTACCAAGGTCTGCTAACTACTAATCAGTCATCAAGAAATAAAAATAAATGGAGTAGAAAGTTTAAAGAATTTATTATCTTTGACGCAGGAGCAATCTTTGCTTTCAATGTATGTACAAAAAAACTTTTGTTCATCAAAGCATTATTCTCTGTTCAGGTTTTTGTTCTCCTGTAGAACATTGTTGCTATTGCTAAGAGTCAGAATATTGATCTATTTTTTTACTATCTGAAACATTTTCCTCACATGAAAATTTTTTTCTGTATCAGAAGTTTTATATGCCTTGGGTTTTTCACAAGGTTGTACAACACCAAATCTTGCATTCTGTTTTCAGTTTCTTTAATGTAAATGTGAGGACTCAGACTTAATGTTAAATGAATCACAATGAGCATTAAAGATCAAGGGGTATCTGAAGTATCTTTATGACTAAGTTGGCTACAGATGAAAAGTTTCAAACATTTTGCTAAACTTCAAACAATACTTTTAATGCAATGTTGCTAACATGAAAAGGTAGAGATGATATTCTTTATTTAATACTGTAAATACAAGCACATTACTTACTTTCAGCGTGCTTGTGACAAACGTGGGTAGAGACCTTTCCCTAATCTTCGTTCGTGAAGCCCAGCTATGAACCTTACTTTCAATCTACCTATCAGAGTACATGGAACAAAGTTCTAATTTCAAGTACAACTGGCAAAAGAAACAGTTCAGTTTCAGAGGAGTTAAAGTCACCATATCCTTTACAGGCACTGACACCCTGACCCCGAATCTTGTACATGACATTCATTCTTATGAGGAGAATCAGTCACATATGATGTCCCACTGACACCAGCGTGATTACAGAAATGAATAGAGTTATTTATATTTCTAAATATTTCCTGGATCTGGATCCTTCCTATTTCTACTTTAGAGACCACGTAAGCCATACAGATTCCTGGTGATAATTATTTTCTGAAAAGTAAAAATAAATCCTTATGCACAGTTTCAGTAATACTTCTATTTTATGAGTTTGATGGAAATGAATCAGCCCAATGTTAAACTGGAGTCTTGCTAAATGCCTGATGTAATTGTGGCTAGATGATCCAGCAGAAAGAGAACTAAACCTGCTGCGTAAAGAGCAAACACACAACTGTTCCTCTGCCAACTTTAAAAAAAAAAGTATTCAATGCCCAATTGCAATTGTGTCAGAATGGAACCTGACAGTTATAGATTATATGATAATATCTGCCTTACAAAGGTGCAATAAGTACAGAATGTGTATCTGTAACATATGTATATATGTCCATACAACAATGATTGCTAGAAACTTGAGACATTATCCTACTCCATTCAGATGCTAACTGAACCCCATGCTTCCCAGTCCAACTCATCTAATCATCACAAAGTCAATTGATTTACACTTGGGGATGTACTTATGCTGGAATGCCACTAAAATGCTCAGCCATCTGAAATTACCAAAAGTCAACCTCTGGGATGCAAAAAAAGTTTTATAATTCTAAAATAATTTTCTGAATATGCTAGTCATCTTCTTTTTCACAAGCAATAAATACTGACTCATTATAGAAGTTTAGCAGTATGCTCTAGCCATCAAGCAAATGATCACAGGTAGCCTTCAATAAAATGTCTTTGGAAATGGGGTAAAATACAGGGTTTTTTTAAAACTTCATAACTTATTTTATACAGTTCCTCTGAAAATATAGCTGGCTTTTTCAACTAATGGTCTAACCACAATTTGTCATCCCCATAAAAGAGATCCCTAAACCTGAAATGACTATTTAATCAATATCAACAGGGCATACAAGTATGACTTCCAAGGCTTAGCCACAAATCCTGCTACTGTGCCTAGTTCTGAATAAATGAAAGCCTCTATCTGTTTTATGGATGCTTTCAAATCCACTAAGCTTGAGAGAGGTGATGATGCATCTGGTAATAACAGACTACTTCACCTTTTTATGGTATTACATCAGCAAGTGCAAGACACATAAGCAGGGTAAGTATAACTAATATTGGTAAATACCAGTGGGATATTAGTCTATTGACCTAATTTTTTGAGAAATTAGTATAATCTTCTTGAATAAAACATGAACAATCACAAATGTAAGTAAATAACAGCACATTGTTAATTTAGAGTCTGTGTCATGTTTCCTTTACAGGTTGTGAAAAAGATGTGTTGATTGATATCCTAACTCAGCGTTGCAACTCCCAGCGGCTTATGATTGCTGAGGCATACAGGGACACGTATGGCAGGGTACGAAACAGCCACTTTGTGCTTTCATTTACTTCTTTCTCTCTTACCTCCAGTGCAGCTGGTCAGCTCTTCTCTCAGGTCAGTCACTGGAACCAAAAGCCTGTCAGACAGCTGGCTGGCACCGACAGGTCAGCACACAGCTTTGCTTGTTGACTGTTGGTACCTCTGACAGTATCAGATTGACATTTACCGCACAGTAGAAGCACATCTGCCACACAAAGTTAGAAAAGGACATGATAATAAAATAGTATTGTAACCAAAGAAAAACACCATACGAACAGTTACAGGCTTTTTTATCTTACATACTGATTAATGTTCTCACCTCAAGCACTGACATTCTAAGGCCTCATTTCATGTAGTTCCATCCATACACTAAGCACAGTACTCATCTCAGCTGCTTAATGTTAAATTTATGAATCTTTGAAAGGTGTTTAAAAATTTTAAGACATAAAAAGTTAGCCTTCTTTTCAAATGTAGTTTATCTATCTTTACTGTATATAACAATGTAATTTTTGTTATATGAATTCTTAAACATACACAGAGATAGATATCCTCATTCTATTTCCAGATCTACTATTGATAACCAAATAACTTCAGGAAAGTTGCAATGCCTGCATTTTCCTTAGTTACACCAGCTATATAAGGGCAAAAAAATAGCAACATCTTTTCCAAAATTCATGTGAAATCTACTGATGAAAAGTTCTGTATGAAAATAAATACTGTTGGATTAAATTGACTAGACATGCTCTTCCCCTAAGAGAAGCCAGGTAAACACAACAAAATCCAGTTTTCTTCTTTCCCTGAAGCCTGTAAAACTAACAGCTCACTGGAAAATTCCTTTAAGGTCAGTGTGTGCTTGCCATTGAATCGATCAGCGTGAATGAGAACAATGAGCTTGCACAGATGCTACCACACAGCCAACAGCCTTAATTAGAGTTAATCAGAAATGGTTCATTCAAAAACTCCATATGATGTGGCACTGTTACACCACCAGTTTGTTAACCAGTAGAACAGTGTATTTTTTCCTTTAGGTAGCCAACAAGTTTTCCACAGACAGCCTTTGTGCCAACTGCATATCAAAATACCTCAAAACCATTGATCCCTAAATATGCTGAAACACTCACTCTCCTAGAACTGGGAGCAAAAGACCTGGATTTAATCAGTGTAGTGGGCTGATTTTGTGTTGTTACTCATCTCTAGGAGATCAATGACTCTATTTGGATTGTTAGCAAAAATCAAACACATAATATTTGAGATACTTTAAATATAGCCTTGAATGGATAAGTGTTTTTTGAACAGACATTAAAAGAACAATAATTGAATCACAGTTACCCACCTTCCAAAGACTGCAACAGTGATTGAAATCAGTGCACCTAAATGATTAAAACTGTTTTTCTACTATGAGGTATTTATTAGGTTTCCATTACACATGCAAACCACATACCTTGAACTGCCGATAATTTAGCACACCAATGATAGCACTTCCCTGGCTGTGATCTGTCCTAATGGTTATATTGCATTGAGCAAATGTGCTATTTGGCAGTCCCAGTTTATGAGTGGTAAACACTGCAGGGCACAGAAGACATGCAATGAGGCAATAGCAGTTTTAGCCTTCTCAGTTCAATTTAAATTGTTGGTCCAATCCCCTTCCCTCTTAATTTCACTTCAGTCTGCTCAATATGGTAGCCACTATGCCCATTCATTAGACAGCATCTTAGAAGGAGAGAAATATAAGAAGAGGTAAGAAAGACCTGAACTAGCTGCATGATTCATACATACAGAGAAGCTTTAAGATTCCTTCTTACAATTAGCCTTCAAGGATTTTGCACAGCAAAGATGATTAGGAAATTAAAATAATGACAACTTAGAGTTGTCTTTTCTTATTTTTTAATACTTCACTTCCCTTAGCTCTGATTGCAGGAGTAATTTTTAAATAGTATCCATTTGTATTATTAATCCATTTTCCCACAGGCATGTTGTCAAAAGTGAAATGTCTTAATGAATTAATTTCTACTCCAGGTGTGATTTAGAGGTTGTCAAATGCATCTAATGTGCATTCACTGAAGACTGCGTATGTTTCTTCAGCATAAATTTAATTTTTAATGTGTATTTGTCCTCCTTCATTGCTACTTTAGCTATTAATTTAATTATATTCAGAAATAAATCAGTTATATTCAGAAATGTATCAAAAGCAAAGTACAGGCCTGAAAAATGTGTAGCTCTGAAAATGTAATAGTTTATATCATGGGAACTGTTTCAATTCAGACTTAAATCAGAACACACCTGACAGCTGTGTAGTGGTGCATACAAAATATAAAAAAAAACCCCAACCATGCACAAGTATCTTTTAACAGAAACCCCAATAGTAAGCTAACAAGCTTTTGGCATTTGCAGTGTTTTGAAGGATGCTATCGGGAATGGGGAGAGTGAGGAGGAAACTCTGATCCATTACTCAGCTAGTTTGCCAGAAAAAAATGAGATACATGAGGGGGAAGAGGGAGGTTCCTTATTGTTAATCCAGCATCTGTCAAAAGTGGTGAATTTATTTTGAATATAAAATATTCAAAAGTACATAACCTTCCAGCAACTCAAAGCAGGTATTTTTATGTACTAGGAGCAATACAGATGATTTCTTAATTTATTCACATGGTGAGTGACACTGAAAAAAGCACAAGAAATCACCTGGATTCTATGTGATTAGATTTCCAAAGGTGCTTACCTCCCACAGATTTGCACAGGGAATACGCCAAGGAAAGCTGCAGATGCTCTGCCATGATATTCAGTTTTCTAAAACTTTAAGCAGTAGTTGCACATACAATCCTGCATTTTCTTCTGTATTCTAATGAACCAGAAACCAACAAACCATAGTGGTCTACTAGCTTATGCATCTTTTCTTATCTTACCCATACTAGCAGAACAAGCTGGTACTATTTAAAAGAACATTTTTTTCTTAATCTTAGCCAGAATTCATCTTTGACAGTCCATCTTTTTTCATTTACAGAGAAAATCATTAATAATTTTTTAATCTGTCTTAATAAAGTGCAACTATTGAAATAATCCTGTCTATGCACTTTCTTTTTCTTTTCAAGGATCTGATAACAGACCTAAAAGAGAACCTCTCTCATCACTTCAAAGAAGTTATGGTTGGCTTGATGTATCCACCTGCCTCCTACGATGCCCACGAGCTCTGGCATGCCTTGAAGGTAGTTGTTAAATTCAGAATTGCTTAGAGTTGCAGTCACTAATTAGAGTACTGAACACATGTTAAATTATTTTTTTTGACATTTAATTGGTTGATAAAGTGCTGGAAGTTAGTACACTGGAGTAGTATACTACCACATGGTATACTAGGTCATCAGAAATACAGTGCTATATGAAGTTTATTCATTGGTATGCTAAAACTAGCAGAAATAATATCCTTGTAATGTAACAAATATAACCCATTTAACACCCATGGTAAACTCAGGAAATTAAGAAATATTATACAGGGAAATATAAGGCCCTGTTCCTGCAAGCTATTATGTATGCTAGAAATCAAATTTATTTGCACGCCCAGTGCCATACACTAAGAATCCACCTCTGGAAAGACCAACATTTCTTTAGCAGAACATGTCTTTGCATAAACATTTACAAATTACCCTGTGACAAAGCAATGAGCACTCCACTCAAACTGAACTGATTGCCTATTTTGAAAAAAAAAATTCATTTTCTTCACAGGATCTGAGACTGTGCTCCTTACACAACTGAAGCTTTGAAACAAAAATATTTTTTCACTTATGTATATAATATGTATATTATATTTATGTATATAAAAGCGAAATCCATTCCCACAGGGCATTGTGGATGCCAAAAGCACAAGTACTTCAATAATCTCTTTGAAAACAGGTTCACTGTTGGCTATTGAAAATAATCCTTCTCAGAAAATTCCTGAATAGTCCATTCCTGAAAGATAGGAAGGTATATCAGAGTTCAACACTGTTTTTTTCTCTTTTCATGAGTATTTGCTACTGTCCACTGTCACAAATAAGTCACAAATTAAAAAAAAAAAAAAGAAAAAAGAAAAAAAAGAAGAAAGAAAGAAAGAAAGAAGGCTACAATAAAAGACAAACATAATAGCTGTGCTCATGTCTATTTCAGATTGCCTTAACACTTGCTGGGGACATTTGCTCAGTCTTTGCACCTGATTTCTTTCAGCAAATCCTAAATTCTTACTAAAGCTCTAAAATCATTCCCATTATGTTTCCATCAACACTAGTCTTGCTGCATTCCTCACTCGCTAATGTACATGCTGAAATTCAGATTAAGTAAAAATATATTTTAAATACAGGGGTTTACTATTAAAATGCACTCTGCATTGCTCCAGCAGAGACTGCTATTCTTTTGCTACTTCTGATAAGCACAGCACTGCTTTCCTGTAAAAACTGTGGTTTCTACTACACATCTTTTTGTATTTACTTTTTTCCACACAGGGAGTAGACACAGAAGAAAAATGCCTAATTGACATATTAGCCTCAAGATCAAACATGGAGATCTTCCAGATGAAAGAAGCCTACCTAATGCGTAATGTTTTCTAACAAGTGCACTGTAGCAGTTGTACTATGTGTGCTCTGGACATATTAGTACACACAAAGGAAGAGAACTACAAAAATGACTCCTTAATACTGACTGGTTCCCTTCCCCATCTCCTCCCTTGACTATATTCCAAAGGCTGAAACAATGTGGGTGGGTGGACAGGAAAGTGGGGACAGCGGCTGAGTGCCCCCAGCAGGGCCAGGCAAAATGCCAGCCCCATGGCCAGGTCCATGGAGAACCTGCCCAGGTTACAGTGGAATAAACACCATAGAGAATGGACAAGTATTTGAATCCTATTTATTTATCTTTTGTTTGATAATTTTCATTTGTACTATGCAGAGCATAATCATTTGTGATTCTAATTACATGTTTTTGGTTTATCCTAGAATATAATACTGATCTTCAACAAGATATCAATTCTGAGACTTCAGGGCACTTCAGAGATACGCTCATGAACCTTGCTCAGGTACTGTAAAACCAAGTAGTAAGATTAACATTTCTAAAAAATTCATAATGACTTTTGATACTATTTGAGAATTCTTAAATTTTAAGGTGACTGTGGTTAAAGCTAATTTAATAGGGCTACACTTCCAAAAAAGGGAGAGGGGGGGGAAATCAGATGAGGGAGAGAGTAATCTTCTCAGACTTTGGCTATCAAATGGAGGCAAAGGCTAAAAGGTTATTTTATAAAGTCCCCTGATTATTCAACTGCTGATCCTCTGCTCCATCTGTCTCTTCTCAAAAGGAGTCTAGTTGCATGTACAAATGAGATTGTTATTTTTAAAGCTCTCTTTTCTCCATTTATTAGAATATATAATCCAGTTGAAACATTATGTGAAAATGGAGATATATCCACATTTGACTAAGAAATAAAGTATTAAAGAGATCTCTGCTTTAAATATGATGTTCTTTGTGCTACTGCATATGCTAAATCACAGCATGTTTGCACAGAGGCAAAGTGTCACTATGACACACTAACTTCTGCAGTTTTACCAGTTTGTAGTTTTATATAACAAAGTGGTCATCCTTGCCAGATCACAAGCTCCCATTCTCATTGTAGTCACTGTGCTCATTATCTTAAAAATCTTTTGTAATCCAGAGTAACAACTAGTGACAAAGGCACCGCAAGGAAATAACAGCATACATAAGGTATATCTGCATATAAATATATGTATGTCTGGGGAAAAAGTTCCTACTGAGATACGAAAGAGCAGCAGGTTTCACCGAGGTACAAAGAGCAGATGCATCAAAAGTAGAAGCTATAAACAGGAAATATTTTTTTCTCATTTTTTTTCCCTAATAATGAAAATTCTTTCTTGCTTAAAAATTAAAAGCTAGAGGTTAAGCAACCTCACTTCTCATCTTTATTGAAACCATATTTTACCCATCAAACAAACTAAATTTAAAATAATCTGAGATTATACATTATTAGTCCTTATTTTCTTAAACCCCAGGCATTGATAAAGAGATCTAAAATCAGCAACTTCTTAGCTAATAAGATCTGCTATTTTTCTCAAGATAAGGAAAAGCTGCAGGAAACTTCAACTTTACTCTGTTAAACTGTCTACTTTTGAAGATTGTTAGTCAAATCACCCATGTTTGGATATGATCTTATATTTAAACTCAGTGATATTTTATTAAAATAGGTCCTTTCTAGTTCCTTTACCATGCAACTTACAGAAGATTATTCTATAGCAACATTCCGATGCATCCTTTAATGCTTTTTTTCAGAAGCCCTTTGCTTTAATTTCTATTAAATCTTGGAACTGATGACGCACATATCTGACTACAGTTGGAAGTAAATGTGCTCCACATATGGAGAGCAAACTATTCAATTACTATTGTGTTGTATTTACAGTTTTCAAGTCCAGCCTGAGGCAGAAGTTATAGTTTATAGTCCTTCTTAAAGAAAGTAACAGAATTACAAATTCAGGCTGAGTAATATTCTAGTCTGAGACGAACAAAATATGATCATTTTCTACAATTTAAAACATAATTATACAAATGTTACTGGGAAAAGTGGGCATTTGACCCATGCAGAGTATTATTCATGTTATTGGTCACTTGTCTTTGTTTCCTGTGTTTTCTTGTGTATGTAACTTTATGCGGTCATTCCATCATAATTTACTTCAAGTAATTTATCTTCTTGCTAGGAATTTCACTGTGTGAAATTCTTACTGTTTAATTAAAATATAAATTAACATTTTTAACAAGAGCTATAAATCAGTCATTCTACAAGCTGACAGCCAATACATAATTTTAATTCTCCCTTTCACATATAAGGTAAAATACTGTAAACTTTAAACTAAACTGTTTCAAACACATATTAAGGTAGTGATTACATGAGCTTGAGATTGTTAAGAGTTCTGCAACCAAGGTTGATTTGTATCCTTAAAAGATGGTTATGGTCAAAAAAGCAATTCCAATAGTTGTGTGCTCTTCTCTTTTTCTAACAGCTATACAATTCAGTTCATAGTGTGTTTATCAAAGAATTTAGCTCGATTTGTGTAACTGAAAAGCTATTAAATATATGGGAAAATTAGAAGTATTCTTCACTGTTTTGTGTATAAAACTTGTCAAATGATTTCTTAGTCTCGGTTCTTAATTTTAGACAATGATTGAGCAAGCAAAATTTCCATTATTTGATGAGCTTGCTCCTATGATTTGTGCAGGGAGAAAAAAAATTGAGAAAAGATTCTTCTGGTATTATGTATATTGATAAGAACTAATCAGTGAATGGCAAATGTTACTCTTACCCTTATTTTCCCCTCAGAGTTACATATTACAGTAAGCAATATAATATCCATACTTCTGAAAATGGTGGTGAGATGGCGTTGGTCAGTTAAAAGCTTATTTTAGATGGGACTAAGAATGGGATAGGTTTATCCACTTCCCCCATTTTTCACTCTCACATGACTGTCATTCCATAGTTCCTCTTATTAAAGAAAATGAAGACACAATGTGACAATTTGAGGATATTTTCTACATTTGCAAATTCAACCATGGAATATACTTATCCAATCTAAAAGCCCATATATACAAGTTAGCTTCATACAGAGATAACTTTATATTCCTACAGTGGTTTAGGATTTAACTTTTGAAGAAAATGTTATTTTTTTTTTCCCAGGGAACTAGGATGGAAGGATATGCAGACCCTTCTACAGCTGCTCAAGATGCAATGGTAAATATGCTCATATGTGAATTTCTCAAACATTAAAAAAAAAGAAAAAATAGAATCTTTGAAAGGTGATTTAGGACTGACTTAAAATATTTTGCATGTTTTTTCCTTTTTCTGGTATACTAGATTCTATGGGAAGCATGTCAGCAGAAAACAGGCGAACACAAAAACATGCTGCAAATGATTCTCTGCAACAGAAGCCACCAGCAGTTGTGGATGGGTAATCCAGCAGCTCAGCTGTTTAAACAGAGTGGAAAGGAAAAATCTGACTTGCTAATAAAGCCATGCTTTGCATACCAAGACACTCAGTGTGCAGCAGGGCATTAGCCTGAAACCTAAGTGTGAACTGTTGGAGCTCAGACTCCCACTGATGTTAATGGGATTTTGGAAGTAATGCAAAACTGAACTTTGCCTGATGACTCCTGACAGCTGTAGACAGAACAGACAGGCACCAGGATGCCTAATAACAGAGGGAAGAATGCATGACCAAAGAAAGGCAAATGCTATGGTTGCACAGAATTTACACATGACATAACAGGATGAGGTGATTTTTCGTAATGATTTTTCTTCATTTTCCCTAAGTAACTTTTGCGAGGAAAAACACCTCAGGAAAGGCAGATGGAGTATTTTCAACAAATGTTTGTATGTGAAAACCCATTGCTGTGTTGAAGCTTTTCCCTGGAAGTTTCAAAGAAGTTTTTGATGGGAGCACTTCAGTGTGTACATCCACTCTCCCATAACAAAAATGCACACAGAAACACAAGGGCCATTTTTATTCAAAACAGAGAATCAGACATAATTGCAGATTGCAAGAAATTCATGTGAGCTCATCCAGATCTTCCACTGTAGAAAAGAAACCTATAGTATCTGTTTGGTGACAAGTATGAGTTTTTGCTCTGCAGTGGAAAAACTGTCTGGTGACAAGTTTATCACTGTGCAGCCAACTATATTTCTTATGTCAACTGCTAACAGTAGCTTAGAATTACTTTGCTATCATGGATCAACAAATTCATTCAGCTGGTGTTGATAGGATTAAAATAATGTAACACACCTGCTTATGTTCTGCTCCCTTCCTGAGATTTGAGGGCTCTGCCTGTACTGCAGTCCTCCACAAGTTTTGTAGTAAGCAGTGCACTGAAAATTTTCCTCCTTCCCTAAAGGAGAAAGCATGCCCTGTATATTTGTATGTCTGGATACCCACATTATGCAGAGAGTGTCCAGATCTGGATACTGACATGTTACACATGTCATGCAAGCCAGGGCTTCCTGTCACAATCCATGAATCTCTGGCCAGTTTTAGCCAAGCTAAGCAAGGAACTTGCCTTAACGACCTGACATTCTTACGTTTCATAAACAGATGTTGCTAGATGGAGAATTTATTAAAGGTTCCAGTGAAACAGAGGCTGTGGCACGCATTCATTTCAGATTGTAGACTGAAGAACCCAGGTAGAGAATCTCCTGGAAGCCAGGTTTCAGCCTACTCATTTAAATTGACTTACCTGGGGAATATAAACATAATGACACACTGTGAATAATAAGGCAAAAAAATGAACTCAATAGTTACAGTACTGGGGGGAGCAATGAACTGAAAAAAAAGCAAATTGATCATTATTAATGAACTAAAATAAAACAAGGGGTTTTTTTCCCCTCCCAGTTTTCCAGGAGTTCCAAAATATATCTGGGCAAGACATAGTAGATGCCATTAACGAATGTTACGATGGATACTTTCAAGAATTACTGGTTGCAATAGGTAATGTAAAAATATTATTTTTACTAGCACTAATCTCTTAGTAAATATCTAGTATGTTATCTCTTGTGCATCAAGAATATTATTTTCTGATATTTTTGTTCACTTTAATCTCCTACATTGTGCAATTAAATTCTCAGACATAATTACAGAAGAATATTTTAACTACTTTCCCATGTCTGTGTAAATCCAAAAATGTATCCATGCAGCACAAGCTCCTCACTGACTAGAACTACTATTTGTTCTTTATTTTGTAACAAACTTTGTATGATCAATGATAACTGCATTTCCAACTGATGCTAAAAATATTAAATAAGTGGAAATGTTTTCAGGACTTTGGTGGTATGTAAACACGTTTCAAGCTTTATGTGCCTTTGTTCTTCATTGACAGAATAAGAATAATATTTCAACAAAGAAGTCATTTGAGTGTATTCACTGATATTTAATAAACTCTTTGATGCAACAGCAATGTGGACCCACTCAAAATAAGTACCATATTTTGAAAATCTCAAATACAGTTATGTTAGTGAATATTGGTAGCTTAATTTTAAGCTGAGTCATGAAAAGCCAGCTTTATATTTCAAGGAGCCCAAAGCCAAAAGAAATTATTTTATAATTTCCTGTTTACCTCTTGTAACTCTTCTCTCCTAGTCCTCTGCATTCGTGACAAGCCTTCCTACTTTGCTTACAGGCTTTATAACGCAATTCATGTAAGTAGTCATTTTTGACATGTCTTAAAAAGCAGATTCCCTTTTTTATTTGTTTGTTTGATCATTCTTAAACAAGTACTTACAAATCACTCTGTTCAATCTCTGTATGTTTTAAAACTGTTGACAAGTACATAAATTTCAAAGCAGTTGTGCCTAAGCTACAGTTAGGGTTAAATATTTAGATACCTTAAAACAGTATCTGTCTGGTAACCTTGTCAATTTTTTTTTTTAATTGAAAACACTTCTTTTCTATGGACGGTATCTCCCCCTGCTGTGCAGAACTCAATGTGCACTTCTCCTATGATGCAATTTTTTGTCTGTGGAGTTTAATAAGTATCGGTAAAAATTAAATAATAAAGTAGTGTTACATAAAGACAAATGGTTATATTTTCTTGTGGGACTCCATGCAGGTTCTTTTATTTTTTGAGTAAGTGCTAATATACTAAAATAAATGAGTGCCAAGGAGAAATGTGTGTAAATGCAAAGAACCACAAATTCCTCTTACTAGGGAGGAATGTCACTGGAGACATTTTCTTTTATTTTTCATTCATTAATGAAAATAACAATGCATTATGTTTTATAAAACAAAAGTATAATCTTATAAGGCTAATCTTTTAAGTATAATCTTTAGAAGATTGTCATAAGAGTAAGCCATGAGTAAGGATCACCTTAGAGAAATGACTCAGGTAGGGATTCCAAGCCAGAACCATTGAGCAAAACTTCTGACCAACACTCCAAAAGTGCCCCAGTAACCTCTACCAGATGCTGCCATTACTGCTGTCCAATGTTTCAGCTAAAACAACAACCGTGGCAGCAAAGAACCAAGAAAAATCCCAGGGTCTGAAAGAAAGAGGTAATATTTTGTCTGACTTGTCAAAAGGGGATTCTGGTACATGACACGAAAAAGGTTTGCCAAAACTTCCAGGAAATATCAACTATCAGGAGAAGTGATATTTTCTCACTGTTCTGTATCAAGACTGCTTTTCAAGTTAAAACCTCCTTTCCAATTTTAAGAAATATCACATAAATAGCTTTCTTCTATATTATATTCAGACAACATATGTGATGCAGAAATAAGTTTTTAATTATTAAGAATAAACCTCTACATTTTGTTTTAATTAATATTTTACTATATTTTCTCAGTGTTTTAAAGAACACAGAAAATTCTCAAAAGAAATGCAAGAATTTAAAATAGTGTCTGGTTTTGCAGTCAAGCTATATCCATATTAGGTCAAAAGCATTTTATACATCAATTTATAATACAATATAATAAAACCCACCCACGATTCAAATACTTCAAAACACAGTCGATAATGGTTTAATGGTTTATAAGAAAGATTTTAATCTAGCCAATCAAACATGTATCAGATTTTCTACATGCAGCTTTTTAACACAGTTCATCACTTGTTTTTGGAGAATAAGATTTCAGTATCAATGATTAGCTGATAAAACTACAATTTAGCTTTAAAGAATCTAAATTGGTCATCAGTTGTCCCAGCTCTAAACCTGTTTTGACTACTTTTATTGTCACTAGATGTCCCCATTCTCCACAGAATTACAATATGAAAATTTATTTAGAAACAGAATAAACACGTCTGAACACACATTATATGAATTCTAAACCAATGGTTAGAAGTCTCACTGAATTCACATGTGGCAGCAGTTCTTGTGAAACACATTATTGGCTTCAGCATAATTTGAATGGACTCCACAATGACAGTCAAAACTGCTACACACAAACTGAATTCCTGAGACTACTGACAAAAGATCATCAGATTTTCGTTGTTAAAAGTTTTGGTGCATGGATAAAACACTGGCATGTGGGCACCCCTTCTTACTCAGTAAGATAAATTCTATCATTTGAGCACATGAAAACTCTATAGGATAAAATCCTTGAATGTTTAGACTCCTTTAAAGTCTAGGATACCTTTACAGATATATCTTATATATCCTATATACCTACCTACACTATATAGTTATATCTTATCTTTATCTATTAAACATTATTATGAATATATACAGATAAGCAAACACATATTCTCCAACTGTCAAGTTTCCTCTCATCTTCTCTTTTCATTTTAGGACTTTGGGTTTCACAATAAAACAGTTATTAGAATTCTCATTGCCAGGAGTGAGATCGACTTGATAAATATACGGCAGCGATACAAAGAAAGATATGGGAAATCACTCTTCCATGACATTAAAGTAAGTTTCTGCAAACTTTTGCATATATTCAGCACTGGCATCACACAGACTGTGCAAAGCCCTACCAGAAAAATACAGAGGGTTAATCTCCATTTAACCACTTGGTTTAAAAAAAAAAAAAAAAAAAGCAATGTATAAAAACAACAGAGAATTTTCAGTGCCTTGGTTTGGCTTCAGTAAGCAAGTAGTGAATTCTCAACTCACTCCCTCTCTGTGATTTTGTCCCTCCCCAATGCAAGAGGAGTATACAAACAGGGCAGGACAGTGTGTGCTGAGGAGCAGTTTGCATGAATGGTTTTGACACTAATTGAAAACCTCTTACTTCATGCTGTTCTGCAAGGTTAGGCTGATACCACTTTTGTGCAAAACTGAAATAAATATCTAGTTTTATCCTTATGCTTAGACAGCACTTTCACAAAAACTATTCCTCTTGTACTTTTGCTCTGTATCTTAAAACAAAAATTTGAAACTGTTTAATTGTACCAAAAAAATTACTCTTGCTAAGACACTTTACTTTTTTTATATCACTATATTTCAACTGCAAGATGCACAGCAACTTTAAGAAACTGCTCAGGATTTTTTGGTATTGAACTTAAGAAGTAATAAACAGATTTGATCCAGCATTGTTTCTAGGTGCCTGAGCAACTAAAGACCAAAGTATGTGAAATTAAAAAAAATCTCAGCCTGTAATCCTTATGAAAACAGTGTAATATCTTATAAAACCGTATAGCAGTCTAGTCCTTGTCATACACCAAGAGAAGAAAAATTCAGAAAAGGTATAGTCACTGAAATGTTGATTTTTTTTTTCTTGCAGCATTTTGCATCAGGGCATTATGAGAGTGCTTTACTTGCTATCTGCGCTGGTGATGCAGAAGATTATTAAGCAAGAAGACGAACTTTGAAGAGTGCAAATCTATTTTAAATAGAAATTGAAGCTATACACAATGCAGTAACCGTAAGAGATCCCTACCTTACATAATAGATCAGCAAAATCAGTACTATGCATCTGCTAATATTAAATCTTTCTTGAGGCAAGAAGAAGATATTGGCAGGAAGCTGGTTTTATTCCTAGTTCTAATTAAAATTTCTGGGTTTACGATTAATGTAAATTAATGAAGTAAGTGGTAAAATTACTCCATGTAAGCATATGTTTATCATTTCGTGTCACAACACTCCAAACATTTGTCAACAGGCTCTGGAAGAACCTACTCACTTCCACACTGGAGTAAGAAAAAAATATTTTGCTTTCTTTAATTTTATCAGTAGGATTTCTTCCTTTAGGTAAATTTTTTTCTGCTCTTTCCTATTTCTTATACCTCATATTTTATGCTCTTGAACATTACTGTTTTAGTTACTATCAAATTAAGCATCTGCCCCATCTGTTATCAGTGACTCACCAGAATGCTTTAGTATTCTCTTTCATTTGGCCCACATACTTAATGGCATTTCCCTTATTCTGTTTGAAACAAAAGAAAAAATTAGAATCAAGTACCCAAACCATTCCTGATTCAGTGCCACGCACTGGAAAACCCTGGAAAATGAAACATTACTTAGCTTTGAGCGGAGAAGTTCCACGGAACTAAACTCTGAATTCCATCTGTGCCTATTTCATTTTAATCATTAACTAAATATTGATCTTCAGAGCATGGAGGTATATTCAGGATGCCCTGGGTGGTTTAATTCAGGAGTTGACTACTAATCGATGACACTGCACCTCCAAATGAGGCTGAAGGATGTGGCACTCCCTGGAATACCTGCAAACACAGGCTGACAATACCTGGTGACAGCAATTCACATCGCAAGGAATAAAGACAGCAGAGCTCAGCCTCGAGTCCCCGTTCCACAAGAGAACGTGGCGCTGCTTTTTAAACACCCCGAGTCTATGGAGGGCAGCCTATCCATGCGACTCCCCAGCCTGTGTGCACGTACCTGCTGTCAGCGTCTTACGGACATAGAAACGAGGGAAAGTGTGCTAATATTCACTGAAATATCTGCCCTTGGTTTTTGGCCTGCAGCCACAAGGTGTCCGATCGGGAAAAGCCGTTCTGGATGTTTTCACACGGGCACTTCTGCAGGTGCAGCTCAGTGAGACTGAATAAAGCACTGCTACAGAAACCTACAAATATCTGGTTGCTTTGCTGCCGCTTGCTCCTGTCCTTCCCTCAGCCGGCGGAATTAACACTATTTGCTTCTTTGAAAATACTGACTTCATGTTACAACTCCATTGATTTATAATAAACTTAAAATTTCATTCGAGTCCCTCTTCAGTTTAACTCATTTCAAAACATTTCGAGCGCATAGTTTAATTGTTAAGCCTGAACTTTGGGAGGAATGGCTTTGGGAGCAAAAGGAAACTAAGGCGGGAAAAAAAAAAAAATAACAGGAAAATTAGCTGAGCACCGTCCCAACTTCTAAGCACCAACACAACCCAAAACCGAAGTTCTGTTCTGATTTTGCAGCTGTAGCTAGAGGTGGCTCGCTACGGTCGTACATCGGCGCTGGGGAGCCACTTCGTTTTACCCCCGCACGTCCGCAGATCGGAACGAGGACACTTCTCCGGACCGCAAGCGCCCCCGGGCTCCCGAACTTCCCGGCCGGCACGCGGGGCGGGAACTCCGGGCACAGCCCGTCACAAGATGGCGGTGGCGGCGCTAGGACCCTGCGCGCTCCGTAACGCAACTGCCCGCGCGCCAAGCACGGGACGGGCCCCCACAACCCTCCGCCCCACCCCCCGTGTCGTTGCCTGCTTTTACTGGACAGCAGCGACGTCAATCTCAGACCTCCGCCTATCGCCAACGCGCCTCTCCTCGCCCCGCCCTCTGCGGGCGGGTGTCGCTCCTTCGGGAGTTGCCGGCTGGAAGCGGCGCTGGAAGCGCCGTGTTCGGGGGCTTTCGGGCTGCTCGGCCGCGGCCGCAGCCCCTCGGTGCCGCCGAGCTGGAAGCGGCGGGACAGCGGGACGAGTCAGGCCCAGAGCAGCAGCAGGAGCGGCGGCCGCCCGGCTCCTCACCGCCGCCGATGGAGGCGAGCCTGACGTGCGCCGTGTGCCTGTCGCTGCTGGAGGAGCCGGTGACGCTGCCGCTGTGCTCGCACAATTTCTGCCGGGGCTGCGTGCTGGAGTGCCTGGCCTCGGCCGAGGCCGCCCGCCTGCGGCAGCTCCAGCGGGGCCCGGAGCAGGCCCGTCCGGGCCGGGGGGCGCCGGGGCCGGGCCCGCCCTGCGCCCGAGTGCCGTGCCCGCTGTGCAGGAAGCTGTGCCTGCTGCCCCGCGGCGGCGTCGCCGCCCTGCCCGTCAACACCACCCTGGCGGAGGTGGTCAAGCTCTACCGGTCTGGCGCGGCGGACGCCGCCAAGACCGGGGAGGCGGCGCCGGGGCCGAGGCCGGGGTCCGACCTGCTGTCCCCGCTGGCGCTCGGGGGAAGCTGCCACAAACACCCGAGCCGGCCGGTGCAGCTCTACTGCCGCATGTGCCGGCAGGCAGGGTGCGGGCAGTGCGTCTCCGAGGAGCACCAGGGCATCTTCCACTCCGTCAACCTCATAGACACGGTGTACCAGGAAGAAAAAGTAAGCCCGGGGCGTCCCCTTCGCGCTAGGGGCCCGGCTGGGAAGTCGGGCGAAGTCGGGCTGTCTGCTGGGGATTCCACCAGTCACGGGTTGTGTTTACTCAGAAACGCAGGGAAAACCGCAGTGTTGTGGTCAGGAGAGAGTCAGAGAGATTGTGCTGGTTCGAGCCAGAGTCGGGAGTTGTTCGTGGCTTCCGGGGTGTGCCTTCCCCTGCTGCCGTCACACTGCATCCACCAAACAGGGGGCTAGGCAGTATTACAGTATGAACAGAACCGAACCCAGTTTACCGAAGCACCTGGAGAGTTTTTGTTTTGGTTTCGTTTTTTTGTCGTTGCTTTGGTTTGTAGTGGGTTGGGTTTTTTTCATATGGAGACTTGCGGTCTTTGCTGAAAAAACACTGATGCTAAGAGTTTATTGCATGTCTTGATCCAGTTTTTCCAAGTTCAGGAAGATGCCAGTCTTACTAACACCACCGAAATCCACCCACAGATGTTTTGTTTATAGGTTCTCTGAGCTGCCATAGTAATTTGGGTCACAGATAATTACATATTTAGGAATAGATAGTTTGGGTGAGTAATAATTAGATAAATGTAAAACCAAGATGCCTTCCAGTTTGCATGAAGGAAGCAACTGCCTGGCCTAATGCTTGGTTGGCTGGTTGTAGTGGTTGTGATTTTTGCCAAAATATTAGGGTAGGATGAGCTTTTCATACCCTGTTCAAATTGGGTGCAGGTTGGCATGTCATACATCAGTTCTGCTGTAGAGTAATTGGAACAACTACATGGTAGTGAATGAAGAGTACTAAGTGCAGCACTGACTATTCTTTAAGACAAAAGTCGCTTTTACACTGATTTTCCTTCTGCCTCTCCCATCACCAATTGTATGTCAATCAGGAAACCAGGGGAAAACAGCCTTAGCACTAGACATCCTACATAAAATTTAGTGATACTGTAGCAAAAAATCTGTGATGATATTAGTTTAAATCAAGATATCTTGGTTGTAAACAGCTTTCTATTTTTTGAGGCATAAAAAAAAAAAATTACTATCACACGGTTTGGAATAACAACATTAAAACTTACATTATGATAGATGTGTGTGAAGGGAGTAAAACAATATTTTAACTATAAACAGCTGTTCCAGCAGTACGCATTGTAGGTAAGCCTAAGAACGTTACTTTGAGAAAGAGCAAAGGAAAGTTTGTGTACTGATCCAGGAAAGCATTAAATGTTTTAAGTGATATTTTGAATTGCAACCCTTGTTTAATATGTTGTACAAAATATCACAGAATAGTTATGGTTGGGAGGGACCCAACTCCCCTGCCAAGGCAGGGTCACCTAGAGCAGGTGACACAGGAATGCGTCCAGGTGGGGTTTGAATGTATCCAGAGAGTGGAGACTCCACAACCTCCCTGGGCAGCCTGTTCCAGTATTCTACCACCCTCAGTGTAAAGAAGTTCTTCCTCACATTGAGAACTTTCCATGTTCTAGTTTATGGCTGTTGATCCTTGTTCTGTTGCTGGGCACCAGTGAAAAGAGTCTGGCACTATCCTCTTGGCACCCAGGTTTGAGATATTTATATGCATTAATGAGATCCCCTCTCAGTCTTGTCTTCTCCAGACTAAACAGGCCCAGCTCATGCGATCCCTCCTCATAAGAGATGTGCTCCAGACCCCTAATCATCTTTGTGACCCTGCACTGGGCCCTCTCCAGTAGCTCTATGTTTTTCATGATCTGATTCTAGATAAAGGCTGAAATGGATTTGTGGAATGGATAAACTCATTCAAGTGTTTCAACTGTCTTTCAGTTAACCTTCTTCAGCACTCTGAAACAAATGAGAATAATAAATGAGAAGCTGATGAATGAGATCTCAAAACGACCAAATGATACGGATGTGAGTTACAGATGCTGCATATTATGTGTGTGTGTGTGTTTGTTTCTCTTCTCATGATAGCTTAATCATGACACAGAGCATCAGGTCCTTCCTGTGGCATAGATGTGCTCTGAACTTACTTAGAGAAGTCAATATACACTGCTGCTGCATTTGCATCTGTTCCTATGTTCTTGCACTTCTAGATGATGCTGAACAACGATGTGGAGATAATTGAGGTGAAATTTGGAGAAATTTTCAAAACTCTAGAAATGAAAAAACAGCAGTTACTAGAAGATGTTGAAAATCAAAGAGCTAAAAAAGAGAAAGAATTTCAGATTTGGAAGAAAATGAAAGAAACTCACAAGAAGACCATTGAGAATTTTTTGAAGGATTGTGAAAAGCTTGTCCATGAGTGTGATCCTCAGCGTTTCCTGGAGGTGATGGCCTTTTGTTTCTATTTGATGTCACTTGTATAATGAACTCAGATAGAGCCTGCTATGTTGTAGGTTATGATTATGACTCAATCAGGAAAAACAAATTTGATACATAAAAAATAGACTAAAATTATGTAACTCTTCATACTTTATTTATAACAACACTTCTAATTTTTAGAAAAGTTTGAAAAAGTTTTCTTTTCGGCTTATCAGTGGTGATTTTTAGTGTATTCAGTAGACACTTTTTTTCTTCACTAACAAATGAAATTAAGGTTGACTGTATAGTTGTTGCTGTAACACTTGCTGTGTTATGCTACCAGCTGTGAAAGTAAGCTGCCTTGGTGCTGGATGAAGAGTTATTTACTAGTACTGCCTTCAAAATTGTCTTATATTTCTTTATTTTTCATATTTGTTTTCAAATACTTCATGTATTAAGCACCTCCATTGCATTTTTAAACTTGTAAGATACTAAAAATGCTTTCTGGGGAAAGATTTGAGGCAGAACTTTTAACTTGTCTGTGCTGCTGTGTTGAGATACCTGAGCTAAGGTGATTATACTGATACTTAGGCCTGCCCACCAAGGTGTGCAATAGAGGTAAATCAGCCTCTTCAAAGCTAAGCTTTGATGCTTCTGGCATAGCTGTGCCTACATAGTATGTACACTTAGGTATAGAAGACCCTGAAAGTCAAGGGAACTGTGGAGAAAAACACTGTTTCTGATTTAAAGGTAAATTATAGAGGAGCCTAAGACACAAGTTAATCTTCACTGTTACCCAAGCTAGTGTAGATCCTTTAATTTTGTTTGTCAAATACTGTGGCTGCAGTTGTATGGAATTTAGGAAGAAGGCAGATATGGGGCAGAGTACTTAAATAACTACTGAATTTTGTTTTCTTCAACTTGCTTTCTGAAGAAACTGCAGTATATTGCTGATTTCTGCAATGGGTCTTTTTGCTGCCTTCACATAAATGGGAAGCTAAGAAAGTACTTACAACTTGACTGTGTGTCTGGTAACAACTCATTAAGAAAAATTTCATTTTTACTCGAAGTAAAAGCAGCTCCCACTTTTGGAAGAAATACTGTGACTTAAATGATTAGTATGTCACTTAACAGTTCCACATCCCTTTCTTAACCTCTTTTTCTTCCTGTTTTTCCTCATCCTCCTCTTTCTTCTTCCACATCTTGTTTTCGTCTTCTTCCTTCTGTGTCTCCTGCTCTGCTTCATGTTCTGCCTATTCCTTCTATTTCTCCTATGAGCCTTCTGTTCCTCCTCCACTTTTGCCTTTGGTTCCTTCTTACCCCTTCTTACCTTCTTCCTCCCATTCCTCCTGTTCATTTTCTTCCTCTTCCTGCTGTTTGTTCTCTTCCTCTTTAACTTAGCACCTCCCGGCCTGCCCTCCATAACAATACATTGCTTTTCTTTAAAGATTCATTACAGCAAGATCACCAGGTTTTTATAGGAAAGCAGCTATAATCCAGTCAGGTTTTTTACTTTCCATTACCTGTTCTTTGGGAAGTGCCACTTGGTTACAGTACAGTGCACTTCTTACTGCCATTATCTGCCTGATTTAAAACTAAAAGACAGCTTTTTAAATAGTGTAATAGCATATTGAGAGCACATAGCAGATGCTTTCCTCATCAAGAAATACAAAATAGTCTTTCATTTGAATACTTATAAATATCTGAACATCTGAAGTGGATTAGATAACCATATGGATCATGATTTAAATCCCTTCATTTGGCTCCGAAAGAGTTCTTTTTGTCTTTAACACAGAATATTACAAGATAAACCATCCTCCTAGGCTTTTTAACATTTGAATGGTTTGGGGGTGGTGGTTTTTGTTTTCTTGTTTGTTTTGTTATTGGTGTTGTGTTTTTTT